AGTCAATGAACACTCCAATTCAACTATTGTGGCTCTACAAAAGTCTGAAACACAAAACATGGTCAGACACAAAACATTTACTAACTTTTTCATTGCGACTAGAATTATGTTGAAATAATCCCGAAGACAACTTTTCTTTTCACTGGTCGGAACAGCAAAATTATTGAAATGTCAGCAAAAACATTACAAAAAATTGAGAAAAACAAAACATTAAAAATGAAGTGAATTTTGATCAAACAAAGTTACAGTTTCCGGAATGCTCAATTGTGAAAAAGCCTGTACAAACAGTTAGATATGCAACAATGAACAAAAAAGCTGATTTTTTTAACATAATTTTTATAAATTTTAACACATTACCAAAATGCCCAATACTAACACCTATAACCCAATTGAATTTAAAAAAACTCTTACCAATGACTCTTTACCACAGAAATTAATTGATGCAAAAATTTTAATCCAATTTCGAACTTAACTTAGAAAAAGTGCATGAACAAATTTTGAGAAAAAAAACAGTCTATATATGCGTAAACTCCTTTTTATTGCCCTTTCTTATACAGAAGTACACCTTAAACCTCTCAGCGATATCAAAATCTTTAACGAATCAAAATGGTTTTTTAAAACATGCAAAGTAAAGCTCAAAACAATTAGCAAGACAAAAATATATATCATTAAAAAGAAAAATCTAACTTTATAAAAAACTGCTAAAATGCCATAAATTTCAAAGAAAATTTCATTTCCATAAAAAAAAACTTTATTAAACTTTTCCCCAAACAATCAGAAACGAAATAGTGAACATTCAGAAGCATATACAACAAAAATTTTGGTTCTTTAACACTATCAGTTTCCATTTACAACTTCCTTATGCAAAAAAAAAATTTAAAAAAAAAATCATGAATCTTTGTTAAAAAATCGACTACCTTTAAAAAGAAATCACATGAAATAAACTACCTAAGCCATTACGGATATCCAGATTATCACAAAACTCCTATTTTTCACAAGAAGTTTTAATATAAGAAGAATAAGCACAACGACGATAGTCTAAAGTCGAAAAACAGGTGGAAACGAGCTCCCGGTCTTTGTCGTCTCAAGCATGGATGTTAACTCTGCACCACACTTGAATTTACAATAGAGCAAGTAAAACACGTGATGTAACATTTAAACGTGAGAATTCTGCGAACAAAGTTAATTAGAGAAAAAAGTTTATTAAGCAACATCAAGAAAACTTTCAATACCCTTGCTTATCGCAAAGGTAATAAGCAACATCAAGAAAACTTTGTTTGAAAAGCCCTGCACATTGCTTCCTCAAAACTGAAAGGCAAAGGAATGTAAAATATAAGAAAATTCCATCTTAAAAATATTGGTCCTCAAACATGAAAAGTTACCAAAGAAACACTTTAATAAAAAAAAATTGGAAACCTGTGAAGCCACGAGCCACACATCAATTCAAAGATATCATTTGTTAGCAAAGGGAAGAGAGAAATCAAACTAATATCCCATACCGGTATTTTGAAAAATGAAGCTCGTTAGGTGAAAAACAATAATGCTTCGCGATACAAAAATTCAAGAAATTGATGAAAAAAAAACAACCAAGTACAGAAACGATGTCCTAAAAATCAATTTCAAGTCGGATTATCAGTTTCAAATCTTAACGTAGCAAAACATTTCCGAAACTTGGGAAAAAATTAGTTTAAAACAAAATAAGAGTCAAGCTTTATCTAAAAAAAACCACGAGCACAAATAATCCATCCTTCGTTGAAGACACAAAAATAGGGACCTTGTGATCAGTCGCTTATTATTATTAGCTATACGAAATATAGAGGCAAAGCTTTACAGTGCAAATACAATCGATAAAGCGCCTAGAAAAAGCTTCAAAAGAAAATTATTTTTAATTTAAAAAAATTGAACAATAAAATCTCACAAAGCGAGTCAAACCGCAGGCCTCGAACATACAACTCGACTATCCTACACAACTATGCCACTGAAGCTAGAACATAGGCAACTCATAAAGCGGAGAACACATGCTCATAAACTAACAAAACTAAAGCACCAAAAAATCACTTTCATTTGCGAGTTGCATTGGAGATCACTGGTCATTAAACAATGCTCCCAAATCGAGTCAGTAAAAGTTCAATTATAATTTCACAAGAAAATGAAAGCGGAGTCAGCAAAAGCACGTTTCCTAGATATTTGTAAGAAATATATTTGTTGCAAGTATAGCAGAGAAACGAAGCCGCAATTACGCAAACACTGGCAAAAAAACGGCAAAAGGGAGCTGTGAAATGTACAAAAACATAAACTTTGCATGAAGTAACTTGATAAAAACAAACTAAAGGCAACCACCTTGATTCGAATTTATTGTTCCGACTTTCGGAGAAAGTGCGAAATATTTATGCTAAGTGTGGTTTTTTATTCAGTTTCGAGTTGTTAACTAAGCGTTTCTGTTAACTAAGCGATTGTAGCTAAAATTGCTAATATGGCCAACTTGGGATAATTTAAGTGCGATATATTGCGTACTTATAACACGCGTAGGAAGCGAATTAATGCGTTCCAAATTGAATTGAGACCAGCAATTTAATGGGGGCTAGGAAATTAGACGATAAGCAAATTAGACGTGACCAACAAAAACGAATTTAGACGTTAAACTATTTTTTGCAAAACTAGCATCTTAGACGGAAAGCAAAGGGCTAACAAAACTTATTGCTTAAAACAAATTTTCACAATTACAAAAATAATATATGATCCCATTGCATATCAAAATATTTATCTCAATTGATTTATAAAATGTTAATTTCAAGATCATAAAACATTTTTGAAATGCATAAATTATACAATTGCGGCATGTGAAAAATGCGGCATGTGAAAATTGCGGCATGTGAAAAGTTGATTTGCATTTAAGAAAGCTGAACGAAAGTTAATTGTAGTCGGTGAACAAATTTCAGACACGAACAATACAATTAAGTCTAATTTCCCATATTTGTTATTTTGCATCGACGTCTAAATTAGTTTTTGTTGGTCACGTCGAATTTGCTTTTCGTCTAATTTCCTAGGCCCCAATTTAATCCTACTAGCGCAGGACTCAAATAGATCGTTGAACGTAAAGAAGATCGTAACTTTCCGGTACCTTGGATGTACGCGCATACGCTTCTGGCGCCCATACTTCTGCTGCAAGGGGGAGAGTAGGGTGTCTACACTTCTGTGTTCCCCTTCCTTCTCTTTACGGTTGTGGTGGACGACGGTTTACGATACAGGTGGACGACGGCGAAAAGTCTTGCGCCGTTACCACCGCTGTCCAGCGCCCCGCGTTACGGACGCCGCCCTCTCAATAAGGGATTATATTGTAACCTAACAGGATCCGACCATAGCGTGGAAAATTTCAATTTCTTTTAGTTGTTTTCGAAGTATTTTTGAAAGCATTGAAAAAATCATGAAAAACGCCAAATCTCAGGAACAAAAAAATATTTGAGCAGTAAAAGTTAGCGGCCAGATTCGTACCCTGACAGTACACCCTGAATGTACGCTGACAGGACCCCACTTTGGGGTTGAGAATTTCGAGTTCGGTCAGTATTTTTTATATCTAAGTTTTTTGAAACAATGAAAAATCATAAAAAACGCCATATCTCGAAAACTTGCGTCATACTTGGACGCAAGATTTGCGATGCCTGAGTGTACCTGACAGCATCCCACAATAGGCTTGAGAATTTCAAATTAAGTTGAATAAATTGTGAAACAAAAAAAAATTTGATAGTTTTACGTTGCGAGCATAGGAAAACGTAGAAATAAAGTATTCGCGCTCCAACAGATTTAAAAACGCCGACTTGGGTAAGCTTTTTAGTCCTTCAACGTTTTAACAGACCAATGTAGGGACTTTTTAAACATGTGCCAAAGGAACTTTCTTAATCATTTCAATATACGATATAGCTTAAGCGTACAAAAATCTTTCGTTAAACTTGCGAAAAATAAAACAGTGAAAAGCTCAAACATGTCAACATAGGGACTTCTTAAACATTTGTCAAGTGAAACGCCGATTAAATTATGTATAGATTATCGCAATACGAGACACTAAACACACCCTTAGTATCTTACATAACGTGTTAAGGGATAAAATGAAGAATTAAAAAAAAATCTTTTTTTTCTCAATTATTCAATCAAAAAAAACTTTTCAATTGGCTTTAACTGCAGTCAGAACATTCAGGGCTTTGCCTTCCTATACGAGCAGTCTGGTTAGTAATTAAATTTCCTAGCATAAGCTATTAAACTGCCAGCTCTGCATGAGCAGCAAAGTGCCACCCGAAGAAAAACACTAATATTTGTGACTAAGGTGGGAAAAAAGTGGCCATGTAGTATCACACTACGCTCGTCTCACGCAATGAAAAAAAAACTGAAAAAGACATTTTCGTTTCCTCTGGAATTTGAAACCCACTTAAGAAAGAAAAATTCGGCTACATTTTAATACATTTTTCGCTATTTGTACTGCTATTGGCGAGTTTTATCTGCCTTTGATTTGGTAAATACAATATCAAATTGGTATATGAATTTGGTAACTTTTTCTTTTAAAAAATACTACTTGAAAACAGATGAACAATCACGTCGCTATTTACACAAAAACAGGTTTAAATTTAGACATCATAGCTAACCTTTCCAGAGAAAAAAGGAACTAGCTAACAATCAACGCCCAGCAAGCATTCCTCAATTTACGCATCGAACAACATAAACCATTTCAATTTTTCTGATGTTTTTAATTATTGCCGAGGCAAAACTTAATTCAAAGTTGAGAAAAATAGGAATAAGTTATAGTATAGATAAATATAGTACAGACATAAGCCAATTTTAAACGCGATGAAAACCTAATTAGCTTTTACAGATTTCACCGAAATTTTTAACGCTCATAATATTCAATTATCAAGACTATGATAAGTTCAAATATGACTTTGATAAGTTACTGATTGCAGTTTGTATAACACTATCTAAGAAAAATGAGATATTACTAGTATCAAAACTCAAAAGATTCAACAATAGATTTGCAGAGTTTTTTATATATAATTCTACTATGAAATACGAATTTAGCATATTCTCAGTTGATACAAGAACCTCAACCACTCATTCCAAAGTCCAAAATACATTTCATAACTTGTCAACCGGGACAGGATCATTTGAGTCAGGCCTTTCATTGGTGACTGGGTGGTCCATTTGAACAAATGTGTCAAATATCGGAGCTTCTCCTGGGCTGAATGAAAACAGATCTGGAAACTTGCCTGTGGCATCCATTTGGTCTCCGAGAGATTTGTCAACATCAAACAAATAATCTGGAAATGCAGGTGAAAGTACTTTATCGTTTGAACTACTAGAGCTTAGCATATGACGAAGGTTGTCCAGTGACTCCTGGTTCTGCTGGATATTGCTGTGGATCTCATTGACTGGGTTGAGCTGAGTTGAATTCACATGAATGCTTGGTCGCATTGGAAACGTCACTTCATCTTTGCCGATATTGTTCATCTCCAGAAGCTGTGGTGGAATAGGTGTATTGGGGTTGAATAAAGTCTGCTCATCCATTTCATTTAAGCCCAAGAATGAGGGCGTGGGTAGATCGACATTTAAATTATCTGGTGGATTTTCAGAGCCCATTCCAAACTGGTTCTCGATATTCGAATGTTCAAATTCAGGACAGACCAATTCATTCACCGATCCTTCCATAACATTTTCTATTGTAGTTGTCGCAAGTTCAGCATTGTTTGAAAAACCACTACCATTTGAGAAATTGGCGTCAGTACTAGCTACTTTCATCCCGATTCCTCGGCCGACTACGTTTGTAGATGTAGTATAGTTCTGCCCATTTTGCAAGTGTGGTGCCGAATTGCTATGGACTGTTACAGCAATTGGCTGATGTTGCGTTGTTGCTGTTTTAGAGTTTACAGCACTCTGTTGATTTCGCGATTGCATAACACGTACTAAATGTGGTTGCATCTTACCGCCTTTGTTGATCATCACTTTGATAAACCCTGAAGATGTGGTGTTATTACCAACCACTGTAGATGGTTTCGTGAGCTGCGCTTTCGCATTGGATTTGGGTTTAGTTACCACGTGCCCCGCTTTGTAGGGAACTATAGTGTTAGAAGCGTTTGCAAATCTAGGTAAATTGCTTGTCTGGTTAGTTCTTAACAGGCTTTTAACATCAGTCGTAGGTTCCGGTGGATTCTTGGGCGAATCTTCCAGTAGCTCTTCAATTATAACGCCCGTTGGACTCACGCTCTGCGTCTCCATGGACGTCGACTGAAGATCGTGACGCGAGGTGTTACTCTGGCTGTTATTTCCACTAGTGCCACTATTACTACTGCCATTTTCGAGAAACGGCAAAGTACCAACAGTATTGGAAAACTTTCGCTTCCTTTTCGCTCCAAATTTTGAATCATTAGTCGTGTTGCCGAAGAAAAACTGAAACAGTCGACTGATAATCAACTCATGTCTCTGCTGTTGGCTCTTTAATTGCTCAATTTCTTCGCATAACTTTTGATTTTCAGTCTGCAGTAGTTGAATCTGCGCGTTATTGTACTCTGCTCTGTCTGATAAATTTCGCATTTCCAACGCAATTAACTCATTCAGATGCTCTTGTTTCGAATTCATCCCATTTGAACCGCAAGATGATTGATGTTCAGAACGGGTATTTTCCGAGATGGGAATTTCCTGTGGATGCATATGTTCCATACTAATGCCGCCATTATTGGGAATGATTTTTCCCAAGGAATCTTCTGTGACTATGAGTTCCGGAATGAACTGTTGTAGGTTATTGGAAGTATTCACACCTTTTCTCCGTATGTTTGAGAGTCCTGAAGGGTTGTCCCGAGTGAAGTCAGGGTGAGCAAAAGCCAACGCTAAAAGAGAAGTGCCGTGTAAAAAACTAATGCTCGAATTACAGCACTTATATCAAAAAAGCTATCTAATACAGTTTTATGCATGCATATGCCCAGTAAATTACGAAAAAATATGTCAAACCGTTTTAATCTTCTACTACATTTTGAAAATTATAAGATACATGCTCAATTCGTATTTTAGAGCAATGGCGAATCCAGAACTTACAAAAACAAACGGGGAGAAACATATTTTCAAACACTCGAACAATTCGTGTTTAATACTTTTTCAGATCAATCTAATCAATTTTTATAATTCTTCGTACGCAAAACAGTCATGCTTGGTAAAGTGTAAAATAGCTAAGAAACCGAAAAAAAAAGTTAATTAAATGTTTGTAACAATTTTCAACTATCGAATTTCGAAAAAACAATAAAGAAAGATGCGAAGCTGAGCTTCGCACCACTTGCGGTACAAAACGAACAACTATGATAACAAGCAATTAAAAAGACCAAATCAGAAAATGGAAAAAAAAATCTCCAAGAAATCGTTTTGTCGTAAAAAAAATTATAAACATAAGTAGTACATGTAAGATGCGAAGGGTACATTAAAGGGAACTTAGAAATGATAAATTACTAAATTGAATATTCCGTGCACATTTTTTACGGCGAAAAAGTCTATACCCGGTTGCAATACCCTTGCTTATCGCTACAGTAATCACGTTGACTTTTTGAATTTCAAGAATTGTTTATGATTGAAACTATTTTTAAAGGCATCCGATTTAGAGAAAACTGGATCAAAACGTAGTTTTTTTCTACTCGCTGGGGAGTCAGACAACTTAAATCAATTTTCGAAACTAGAAACCATTCACAACCAAGATTTTTACTTTCTTGCTGGTCGAAGACAAAAAAATTTCGAGAACTATCAAAATATCACGTTGAATCTCTTTTATTTTCAAGAACTGATTATGATAGGTAGTTTTTTTAAATTCGCCTGAAAGTCAGAAAATTAGATCCAATTTGGAATCTAGAAGCCGTTCGCGTTTTTTCGTGATCTTCACTTCCTGGCTGCTCGATTTAGAGAAATGTGGATCAATAGGCAGTTTCTTTAATTCGTCAGGAAGTGAAAAAAACTAATGTCCATTTTTGAAACTAGAAGCCGTTCAAGTTTTTGGAGATCTTTACTTTCTTGCTGGTCGAAGATAAAAATTTCGAAGAAAACTATACATCACATTGAATCTCTTTGAATTTCAAAAATTGATTATGATTGACACTAATTTATTGAATTATCAAAACGTAGTTTTATTTAATTCGCTGGGAAGTCATAACTAAAGTCCTTTTTGAAACTAGAAGCCAATCATACATTTGAAACAAACAATACGACCTATCCTATATAAGTGACAAGTTCTTTTACATTAAAAAAAAACAATCTATTTTGCTTCAAAACAACTACTTTTGCCGTTTTTGGAAAGTTCACCGCCTCAAAGTAGCAATTTCGAGTCAGCTAGCCAGAAATGGGCGTCCTAAGACGTATCCTAGTTTTTTTTTAACCCTGTAAATTTAATACACCCAGTTGTCTGGTTGTTTTTTTTATGAAAAATTGTTCGGTTTGCGTTCAAATGAAAAATACTTCCAGCCTTAACATTTGAAACACTAGAAAACCTTGGCGAGTCGTTTGAATTCGATCTTATACGAAATTCAACATCTGCAATGAATGATCGGAACGAGAATCATAATTTTTCGTGAAAAAATTATGCAAAAAAACGTTAAGCAGAGGGGGTTCACGCAATCTGTAATTTCGATTGGACCCGAAATCTCAGATTTGGATGGGTAGTTTTCGAGAGAAGTTAAATTCTTTCGAAAAAACGGTCACAACATCAAAATTTTTACTTTTCCGAGGGCCAAAACAATTGAAGTTAAAAAATTTTGGCGTATTCGAAAAAACTAATGAGCTTCCGGAAACCCGTTCTGATTCTGAGAATTAAACTCAAAATCTTAGCTATGGCAGGGTAATTTTCAAAAGCTTAGAAAAAAAACGGTGAAAAAATCAAAAAATTGAAATTGAATTATCAGAGGGCGAAAACTGCGTGTGTAAAACTTTTTAGTGTCCGTTAATGCACTGAAGGTGCCTGCTAACCGTTACCTCCTTAAACCCACAATATTGGATTTGAGAGATTAGTTTTCGAGAGATTAGTTTCCGAGAAAAGTCAAAAGATTCAAAAAACCGTCAAAAATTAAAAATTTGACTATTCCGTGGGCCATAAATTTGTGTGCAAAAAAAGCTTGGTCGTGACTACTTATGCAGGTGAGCTTGTCAAAACAATTCAATTCATTGAAACCAAAAATCATATAGCAGAGGGAGTAGTTTTTGGGAAAACGAAAAAATTCTAAAATATGGGTCAAATATTCAGCCACACTTTTTCAAAGGCTGTAGACAAAGGGTTCAAGTAAAAAAAGACTCTAGAAGAGTACATATGTACACAGTGATCAAAGGTCGTTCAGTTGATACCTTTTTTGAAAACCAGAAGGTGGAGAAAAACTAAAACTTTGCTAAAAAAGAATAAAACTTCCAAAACAAAAAAAATGAAATTTCAACAAACCGATTGACAGACATACAACCAACTTCAAAAGGGCGGCGGAGAGTGCTAAAATTGCGTTTATCTTGAAACGGCCAAAAATTAGATCATGAGGCCGATGAAACCCGGCCGAAATAATTTTGGCCGAGGGATTTGTTTGGCAAAAGAAAAAAAAACAAAGGAAATACGAAGTCAAGCTAAGTAAAATTACAAAATGTAGGCGTAAATCAGACACTTGAAACAACATTAAAGAAAAATGCGCACAGGCAAAAAATTATTCCAAGATAACTAAGCCGCCAACAGGTTAGCAGACAAATAATTGGCCGATAACTTTATTTGAAACAGAATACTTCCCGTTTGAAAAAAAACATGTCCTTGACAGATTCGAACCCAGTCAGATTCGAACCTTTGCCGTCCCAGGCATATTCGATACCTCCAGGCTAATACACTATGAAACAAGTTAGAAATGAAACTAGACGTTCACATGATTCCTGTGGACAAAGTTGTTTACGGAAAAAAGTCTAGTACCAGGTTGCAATTTAAGAGCGCTTAAAGACTCCTCCAAAAAAAATTCATCACGACCAATATAAATGCCTTCACTACGTTCATTGAATTGACTCTTTAAAAAATCAGCTCATTTTTTCAGACAGCTGTTCCAAAATTGCAAATTCAGCTCGACTCAAGGCTGTATGATATTTCAATCGACCCCGTTTGATGGAACAAAAAGTCAGTAATCCTTCCGTGCTTATCTAATGACTTCATAGCATTTAGTCAGTTAGAAACAAAATTATGGCACTTACTATTTGAATTAGTGAGCTGAGCATGCGAACTAGAATTATCGTGAACCTTCCTGAATCCGTAAATATTCAGTTGTCTATTGAAACTAGCCATATTATTGTGTTTGAAGTAGTACGGCAATAACTGGATAAGTTGGCTCTGGTCTTTGACCAGGAAACATGTCCCATCATCAGACCATTCCACGATTCCTTGCGTGGACTCCTCGTTGACCAAACTCCACAATTTCAAAAGGAACTTTGGAATCGAGGCCGCTTGATTCGGTATATTCTGTTCACTGGACGACATTACTGGCATGATACGAATATCGAAATGCAAAAGGGCTTTAAATAGCAAAGACCATGTTTAGAGCTGGCTGCTTTAATTCCATCAGCAATCTGAAATTATTTAGCCATAACAAATTGAAGCATTATTTTCAAAACTATTAAATAGTTCTTCAGAAGAACTTGAGGTTAACAAAATATCAATTGAGCAGTACTCAAGTAAGAATACATTGAAAATTCGACTCTAATAAGAAATATAGCACCACTAAAATTGCATCAGAAACGGACTGATATCGTTGTTTATTTGTCTCATTTGCTGAGCAACAATATTTGCACTCACATCATTATTTTCTACGATCAAGTGTCGATCAGGCAACCGTGAGTTCCCTTTTCCCGGTCTATCAAATTGTGGGTTTTTTCTTTCCTGACTATCAAATCGTGGGTTTATTTTTTCCGGACTATCAAACCGCGGTTCCTCTTTGATGTTTACGCAGCTACGACTTCCACTGGGATTGATAGTTGCCGAATAATGAGAGGCTGCTATCGCTATCGCCGATGTTGGTATCGTAGGCGGTTTGGGAACACTATGTACATATTTCGTATTTGGAGTTGAAGTCTTGAATCGTTCATGGCATACTAGCGACTCCATTGTCAATGAAGTCGGAATGGACCTACCAGTCACAGTTTTTTCCAAAAGATGTGGAGGTTTTTCGACTATTTGAGGTGAATTGGCAACTTCTGTTAATTCAGTTGGCTCTCTCTTGATATCAAGTTGAGTGATTGCTGTAGTACGAGCTTTTTCGGGCTTCATAGGCGGTAATTTGACTACAGGGTACGAAACTGATGGCTTTACGCTTTGCAAGCCACTTAGTTTGTTAAGTGCCGCTTTCACTAAATTAGGAATACTCTGCGGCTGATCGCTTTTTCGAATATCAAACTTCGCAATTTTCGCCCGCTTCGAGGCTAATTCTGCATTTTCATTCATGGCCGGACGTTTCAGAATATTTAGGCTATTCAGCGGGTCTTTTGGTTTATACGCTGGAAAAAAGCGACCATTAGAAACGAGGGCATGGTTTGCACCGGAGTAAATGTGACCCAACTGTCTATCAATTGACGTCGATGGCATAGATCTTTTAATTAACGGATTCGCCAGCCTTTGGCTTTCGATGCTATCGTCGGCTCTTTTTACCGAGCTGAAATTATCTCTATGTTGATTCTTTTCCTTTTGAGGCGCTGCATTATCGCGAAGCGTCCGGGGCTTCATTAAGTATTCGGAACACATCGTGGTCTCCGAGCCTTGTTGCATACACTTTTCCTGGTTCAGGACGACGCCGCTGTAAGGCACATTGCTGGTATGTATCTGGTTGTTTTCTGAACCCAGACTAGATTCTATAGACTTCAGAGTACTCATCAGTGCAATATCACTGCTACTTTGACTCTTAGAAGGCGAAAATTTCGCACTGTCATGATCTGTCGGCTTTTGATCCGCAATTGGTGATTTCGAGTCATACGAAGATTTAGGTTGCGCTGCCTTGGATACTATTTGCTTTGTTTTGAATATTTGGACTTGATTTCCATTTATCGCTCCTCTACAAGGGTGTAGAAAGTACTCGATTCCCTGTTGAAACTTATTGTTTAATAGAAACAGCAATGGAATCATTTTCTTCCTCAGAAGTTCATCTATGACCTGAGTATTTGTAAGCTTCGCGTGACTGAGTTGCATGCTGTTGATTCCTACAAACTTCTCCTTTATCCTTTTGTTCAGACCCTCCATGTGAAGGGACGTGGAAACCCTTCGCTCATAACACGGACAGCTACCTTCTGATTTCTGTCCAGTGGCAGATTTCAACTCTTTAATTTCCTCTAAAATTCATCAATCTACGGTCAAACAAACTCCAAAAAAGATAAGTGGCTCCGAAATTTTTATAAAAGCAATAATTTAAAGGTCTCATTATAATTTTCAATAGTGAATCTGCAAAAACAACATTTGAAACTTAACTAACTTTTGAGAGCCTTGTTCCGCTCTACAAGTGAGTCATGTCTGATTTCGGAGGCACGGGAGGCTAGTTCAAACAAGTTCTTGTATTCGGTTATCTCAGCTTGCAGCTGTGTTACCTAAGCCAAATGAGCCGTGTTATTGACATCGACAAAAGAAGAACGAGATTAGCGTTTCATAGTGTGCATTTTCGCTGATCGAGAGAATAGTCAACCTAGCTAACAGATGGAAAAATTATCAATGAGCTCAAGGAAACTAAAAAAAGAAAATCTATTTTTCCGAACGTTTTTCAAATTTTGAGTTTCAAAGATAAAACATATCTTAAAGGTCTTTCAATTTAAAGAGTCTTCATTTTTGATTAACATTAATTTTTGACCCAGCTAATCCAATATAAATACAATCATACAATCTTTTCAATTCCGTTAGATAGCCGGTTTTTTTTCAAATTGCGTTGTCTTTCATTTTTGTTGTGATGACACGAAAGCCAGTAAATTCGATCGAAAAAAATTGGGGACACTTGACTACAATTTATTATATAAAAATTATAAAAAAAATTATAAAATCAAAAGATAAATTCAAGTAACTATTAATAGCCTACTCGCTTGCTTTATTCGCATGAAAATTCCTTTTATTGACAACTAAATCCCATGGAATAAAAACCCATGGAACAATTCAACGACAAAAAAAAACAAACAACTTGACTTTCAATTTGACGCAAAAACGAGATAAATTGCAGCTTTTTCAAACAGTCAAGTCTTGTTGGTTGCTGTTGAAGCAGAACTGAATGTTTCGACCATGTGCAGGGGCGGACCTAGGGTTTTCTCGAGGAGCGGGGGCGGACTTTCAAAAACATTTTGAACATTTTGTCGACCTTTTTTTTAGGTCGACCAAATTGATTTTTCGAGCTCTCCCAAAGCACTAAAAAGTCCCTGTTTTGGCCAAATTTGCTGCGCCGTAGTCAAAATTTTGAATAAAAACAGGCCAAAAAGGCGTTTTTAGGCACTTTTTGGAAAATTTTGACCAAAAAATCGCACTTTTTTGGCGCGCGCTACCCCCTCAAAATTAATATATTGGCGCCAAAGGCGCCTTTAGAAAACTTTTAGGGCCCGTCACCAAAAATGGATATTTCAAAATAGTACATAGTAGTTGGGTCGGCAGGGGGTCGAATCCCTGAGTAGGGTGGAGTCCATCTCCCCCCCCCCTCCTAAATCAGTTCCTGACTATGTGCAGGTAGGTAGCACAAAAGGTTAATGAGTCCAAAATGCTCAAAAAATTAAAAATTGAAGCTGTGTATCAATTTCATAATTTAATTCAACTCCGACCACTTTTTGCTTGAATAAGTGTTTGCTAACCAAGATACTTTGGTCCAGTTTTTGATAACCCATCAAAATCATTTCCGATTGAATTTGAGCAGACAAATTGGTCCCATTCAACCAAACACGCATAGATTACGAGCTAGATATTGCTTGAGAGAAATGAAAACTATAGATGCGAAACTTCGGACCAGTTGCCATGCAGTAAAAGTACTTTAGAAAAGAATGAAGTCGAAAAAAAGATCAGCAATAAACATTAGAACCACTTACGTCCGAAAAAAAAACATACTAACTAACTACCGTTCAATTTCTCTTCTCATCAATTGTAGCAAACTTTCGAAAAACTTACGAATTCGCGACCGTAGAACTATGTAGAAAAATTCGATTTAATTTGTTGCAAGAAATGCAGATTCTGAGAAATGTATGCAACTAATGATGCGTTAGCTGCACTAATGGAAAAACGAAGATTCAGTTTTGGTAAAACCATAGCGTTGTAGTTTCTTTGTTGACGTAAAAGCATTTAAAACTCTCGATAACAAAATGATAATACTTAATTGGAGCTCTATGAAATCCGAGATGTTAGCCTTGAATGGTTTAGAAGGTATCTAGGCGATAGGAGTCAATCCGACGGGCTAGCTATTAATTTGGGTATTTGCCACGTTCTGTGTTGGTTCTAGGCTTTTGCTTATATACCAAAATTATATGCTTTGCTTACGTGAAACGTCGGAAATACTTATTTGGAGATGATAAAAATAAAAATGCATAAAAGTGACTTTTAATCAGATTTGTTGATAATCCGGGCTTGGTTAGTCTAGATTAAAATAACACCTAATACAGAAAAAAAAACAATTTTGATAAGAGTTAGAGGTGAAACAGAATTTTCCAATCCTACTATTGCTCAAAACTACTCAACAGAGTTCTTTTTTACAAAGGAACGTGCAAACATTTACGTGTCATCAAAGTTCACAATAAAAAAGTGTCATACTGCCAAAGAAGAAACGAATTTAGGGAGACACTGTGGTGTTATATTTCTAATAAGAGACTTTTTTCCGCAAGCAGTATTGATTAAACCCAAAACAAAGCAAAATTGTTTCGGCTATACGATACGTCTATCACAAAAATAAATTATTTTTCATTACAAAAAAATGCTGATTAAAAAATCATTAACTTGATGCGTAAGTTTGACAGCATATCAGTTGAATTTAGATACATCAGATATCGTTGGTCCATGAACTGTTCTGTTCGTTTATGATCATCTCAATTGTCCTCGAGCGTTCAAAAAATTGCATTCAAATTTTTTTTTGAATCACTTGTTGCAGAAGATAAATTTTCCCAAAATACACGAAGATACTTATTGCAAGTCTTCAGAAAAACAGCGGACTCTAGAGACAAAATCAAGGCAGCCACACTAACTTGGCATGTATTAAATTAAAATGTACAAAACCAAATTGCTTATAAACTGCATTTTAAAAATCTCGCAAAGTATATCGAATTAGAAAATAGTTTTTTTTTCGGTTCAATTGATGAGTAAAAAAGCATCAACTGTGTTAACTTAATACTAAGCACTTATCAAATGTCACAAGGTAAATATACCGCCACAGCAGCGTGCTAATTCAAAAGTGCCATAAAAATGAGCACTTTTCATTGTGACTTAGGCTGGAAAAAGCTGTAACATATTATCACACTACGCTACGCACGTGTAACCTTTTATTTCAATTAGGGTTAACCCTGTTTAAACCCTTAATGAGGGTTTAGCCTTGTATGAAAAAGATTTGACCCTCCGATCCTTCTACTTTGCAAAAAAT